ATTTTTTTTTTTTTAATTAACTCATATTGTGGCATGATAAAAGTAACAAGCACTGCCAGTAAATAAAAGGAAAAAGGGCAGCTAGTAAGTATCTCTTTTTATATTTTATTCTTTTTCACGTAGCTAGCAAGTAGCAAGTTTCATGCAATGGAATTTGGCAAAATTAATGTATATTCATCAACGGGTTGCCCTGGGCTCCCACTTTGACCAAACTTATTTTTTCAACTGTTCTGCTCAAAGAGAGGTACAAATTTGAATGTACTTTGAAGCCTACACCACAGTAGTAGGGCATTCATCTATTTTTCAAACCAATGTTTTAAAAGGCGGGGGCGTGAGGCGAGACGTTTTAATTACCTCTGATGAAGCAAGGCGTAAGCCCTGAGACATGGGGCGTAAGTTTTACGGATCTTTAAATTTTACTAATTTCAAGAGTCTAAAGATAGTTTAAAATAAAAAATAATTATAAAAATTATACTAAAATCACAAAATTACAACAAATAATATATTTAAAAGTATTTATAAATTATAATTCAACTATGAATAATACGAAAAGTATGACACACATCATAATATGCAAATTAACTGCAACGTCGTTACAATTCAAATATCCAAAGTAATGTATAAAATGCGAAATCTTATATGTATCTCTTAAGGAGTTTTGAATCTTGAAAGAATTTCGATATTATAATTCGATATTCTTTTAAAATACTCCTTTTGTTTAATATGCTTTCTATTTGAAAGAGAAGTATATAAAAACAAAATTCACAATTTATACATGATTCTCTAGCAGCATTTATTTTAAAGTTTAAAAAAGTTAATAAGGTGAGACATAATTCACCATACTATACCATGATAACTAATTATTTGTTTATAGTTACTAGCTAATACTGAGCTATTAAATTAATAAGTATTGTATCTCGTAAACGTGGAAAAATAATATTTAGGAAAAAAATTATAAAAAAAATTATGGACTATGATATAATAAAGACATAACAAAAGTTAATAAATAAATACTAAAAATTAATTTAAAATGTATTATCATAGCAGTCTTAATGGATAACATGCAATAATTTTTAATTTTAATTATGACATAAAACACTCTCAAATTAATGATTAATGATTAAGAAAAAAGTAATTTTGAATAGTCAACGATTTATTAAGAAAATTTGAGGATTTACAAGGTTAATTACACAAAATTGCATAAAGATCTATTAGGCGAGCCTAGTACGTTGGGCGTTGGACGTGTCCGGGGCGTAAGCCCCGACGGCTGAGGCGTAAGCCCCGACGACCGAGACGTAAGTCTTACGGAACTAAGCCCCACACATAAGTCCGGGGTATTTTACGAGTGCTCCGCCCTAAGGAGAGCCTCAGACAAGTCCCAATTCTGCCTTTTAAAACAGAGTTTCAAACTTTGCTGCTTAAAAACAACTTAGCGCTCTTTTACTAGACATGCATAAACATGTATAAGTCTAAAACTGTCTCTCTCAACCACATCCCAAATCCCCCCAAACCAAAGATTATGTTGCTAATTTACCCTTCAGATTTTACTCCATGAATAAGGGTGTACTGTGGGCCGGGCCCAGCCTGGGACCGCACCGGGACCGCGAGCCCACGGTCCGGTCCAAACGGTCCGGTCCCAAACGGTCCCAAAAGCCCACTGTGGGCCGGTCCTCTATGCTGAGACCACGAGCCCGGGACCGTTTAGCTCGGGACCTGCTGGCGGGCCTGGGCCGGTTCAAACGGGCCTTACGGGCCCAACGGCGATTTTTTTTTCAATTTTTTTTTTAAAAAGGCCAACGGTTAGAAGTTTAAAAAACTAGCCGTTGGCCTGCCAATTTAGCCGTTTGGCTTTTTAAAAAATAGCCATTTGACCCCCAAACTTTGTTTTAATCCCAAACTTTTTATAATTACACTTTTTCTCTTTTCTCAACTATAAATACCCCCTCATTCTTTCATTTTTACTCACAAAATCATCAATCTCTCTCTAATTTTCTTCTATAATTGCTTACTTTATTATTGCAATTTGTGAAAAATTGTGAAGTTGGTGAATTGAAGTCTTCAAGTCTTCAACGATATACAATTTTTAAGAAGTTGTTCGTCAATTCGGTAAACTCGTTCCAACTCTTATGTTTTAATATTATAGTTTGTTTGTTTAGTTTGTATAATTATAATTAATATGGCCTTTTCTTTGAAAAAAACTGTTTGGTGGTTAAGGGAAAATCTAAAATTGGTGAATCTAGTCGCCAAGCTACTCCTCCTCCCCCGGATCCCCGATCCAGACCTGTTACCCGTCCTCCTCCACCTATTATTCTTGATAGTGACCTTGTTTTCAATTTACCAATAGTCAATTTTGCCATGATGTTGCACCGGGTCAACAATTAAATGATGAATATATGAATGCTCTTTATCCTAATGAAATTATCGATGAAAATGATGAGAAAAATGATGATTTAGATGAAACGCAACCGGATTTAGATTATACACCTACTAGTCCTGTTGTTAACCCAATTGATAATAATCCAAATGATGCCTCGCCTGACCCTCCTGTAGTAATCCCTACTTTTAATAGACAGCCTTCTAAACGGCCGGAAACGTCTCTTGTTTGGCACTTTTTTACCCAACTAAGAGAACAAAATAAGGCTAAGTGTAAAACTTGTGGGTCTTTGATGGCTCATAAATATACTGGAGACCGTAGCGGTACGGGTAGTTTGACTAGACACATAAAGAAATACCCTAGAGATAAAGCTAGATATCTTCAAATAAAAGCTGCGCAAGAGGGGAGAAGTGTAGAAACTGAGGTTAACCCTAGTACCGGGTCAAATCTAGTTCAACCGGGAATTAACACTGTTACCGGTGGCATTTTATATTACGATCCAAATAAAGATCATGAAGAATTGGCAAAAATGGTTATTGTTATGTGCTTACCCTATAGTTTTCCTTCTAACCCTCACTTTGTGCATTATATTAGAAGAGTTTATAATCCTACTTATAAAGGATGGCCTCGCGCAACTGTAAAGAGCGATATTTATAAATATACACATGAATATGAATAATATTTGCGCTATTTATTTACTCATATAGATTGTCGCATTGCTATTACTACTGATATGGTAGAAGTGGTAATGACTGTGANACTGAATCTACAAAACGAAGGAACGGTAGCACTCAGAATATCTAAGTGATTAACTGGACCTGTGACGTATGATTGGGTTTCAAAGAAGGTAACATCAGCAGACATAAGAAATCGCTGAAGGTCAGGAGAATAACATCGATATCCCTTTTGCGTTCTTGAGTAACCCAGAAATATGCACTTAAGAGCACGAGGAGCTAACTTATCTTTTCCTGGAGTAAGGTCATGAACAAAGCACGTACTCCCAAAGACACGGGGTGGAAGAGAGAACAAAGGTAAGTGGGGAAACAGGACAGAGAATGGAACTTGATTTTGGATAGTTGAAGATGGCATACAATTAATAAGATAACAAGATGTAAGAACTGCATCCCCCAAAAACGCAGCGGAACATGAGATTGTATGAGTAGGGTACGAGCAATTTCAATAAGATGTCTATTCTTTCTTTCAGCTACCCCATTTTGTTGGGATGTGTACGGACAAGATGTTTGATGAATAATCCCATGGGAGTTCATAAACTGCTGCAATGGGGAAGACAAATACTCTAGGGCATTATCACTACGAAATGTACGGATAGAAACCCCAAATTGATTTTGAATTTCTGCGTGGAAGGTCTGGAAAATAGAAAACAACTCAGATCGATTTTGCATCAAAAATATCCAAGTGCACCTGGAATAATCATCAATGAAACTGACAAACTAGCGGAATCCTAAGGTAGAACTAACCCGACTAGGACCCAAACATCTGAATGTACTAAAGAAAAAGGTGACTCTGCTCGATTATCAAGACGCCGCGGGAAATGGGAGCGGGTATGCTTACCGAGCTGACACGACTCACACTCTAGAGTGGACAAGTGAGATAAGCCAGGTACCATTTTCTGAAGTTTTGACAAACTGGGATGTCCTAACCGTTTATGTAATAAATCTGGTGAATCAGTAACGGGAGAAGTTATTGGAGGAAGACAAGATGCGAGTCGATGTGATTTTGCAAGGATAAGGTAATAAGGTCCATCTGATTCACGTCCGGTACCAATGATCCGCCCTGTACTGCGTTCCTATATAAAAACAAGGTCATCAAGAAATAAAACAGCAAATTTAAGTGATTTGGCTAAGCGACTAACGGTTATGAGATTAAAAGGGCTACCAGGAACATAAAGAACTAAGTCTAAAAGTAAGGAAGGAAGTGGACTTGCTTAACCTATTGCAGTTGTCATGGCTTGAGACCCATTGGCCATTGTGACTGTTAGAAGAGATTGAGAATATGAGATACTAGTGAAAAGAGATTTGCTACCAGAAATATGATCAGATGCACCTGAATCAATGACCCAAGACTCAGAAGGTGAAGATTGGGAGACACAATTCATCCTACTATTTGTTGGAACGGAGGCTAATCCTCAAGATTTCTGTTTACATGCTTTGTACTAAAGGAACTCAATATAATCCGGTAAAGAAACCATCTGGATTGGATTTAATGCATTCGATCCAACGAATTGTGAGTCTAAGAATGACATTATAATGTTCACGCCGGAAAAGGTCAGAAAATTGTTTGGAAATCACTGTTTACTGTTCACCGAAAACACTGTAGCTCGCCGGAAAATAAAAAAGTCGTCGGAATCTGATGTAAACTTGATGGGTAGGCTCGGAAAGGCCACGCGAACAGGCTGCCTGAAGGAAAAATTTGAAATTTGGCCGGGAAAAGGCCACACGCGCCGGCGCGTAGGGAAAGGACTCGCCGGAAAAACAAAGATCTGATCCGCGCGTGAGGGCGCGTGAGTGGTCGGTTGCCGGAGATCTTTGGTGGGGTTTGGTCGCCTAAGCCTTGGGACCCTGTGGTGGTGTTGGTTTTTGCACAACACCAACGGAAAGTGATTTTGTTACAGACAGCCTCTTAAGTCGCCGGAAAATTGCACGGCGACGAGGTCTTTCTTCCCGGAAGTTGCTGGAATGACGCACAGCGATAATTTTCTCACTGAAGCTCTGATACCATGTGAGAAAGCACGGGAGAAAATATATTATTGATTAATTAATTGACAATGCTACAATGAGCCCTATATATACAATACATGTCCTACTCCTAATACATATGGGATTAGGGTTATTTACTACTATTTATACAATGAAACTAACAATTTATAAATATAAACATGAATATGAACAATATTTGCGCTATTTATCTACTCATATAGATTGTCGCATTGCTATTACTACTGATATTGGTAGAAGTGGTAATGACTGTGATTATCTTACTGTAACCACTCATTGGATTGATGAGGAATGTAAAATGCAAAAACGCATTATTGCTTATAGAATAATTAATTCACGTCACACAGGTAAGTTTATTGCTAACACAGTTGCAGATATTTGTAGATATTCTTGCATTAGAGATAAAATAATGTCAATTTCTATGGATAATGCTTCTAGTAACACTAATGCTATAGGCTTGCTTACAACTACACTAAATCCTGCATTTAGTAATTGTTTCCATGTTAGATGTATTTGTAATATTTACCATTTAATCGTCGGTGATGGTATGAAAATTTTAAATGTGGAAATTGAAAAGGTTAAAATGGCTCTTAATTGGCTTTTTTATTCAAACCGTAGAAGTAGACTTAGAGAATATTTTAAAAAATATGATGAATTTGGCCTTAGAGAGAGAAAGGTTCCTAAAGCTTGTCCGATTAGATGGAATTACATGTACGAAAGTTTAATTGTTGCATATGAATATAGAAACCCAATAAACGCAACGTTTAATGCTCGTGTTGGTGGTGATGATGATGATGAAATCCTTACAAATCAGGATTGGACTAATGTTAAAATTCTTATAGATTTTTTAGAACAATTTCATATTGCTACAAATGAATTTTGTGGGCAATATTATCCTACTATTTCAAACTGTTTAGTTTATATTGCAGCACTATGTGATTTGTTTGTTCAATTTTCAGAGGGTGGGGTAATTTATCAACTTGCTATTGATTCTATAAAAGATAAGTTTAAAAAATATTTTTTTCCTATCCCCCCTATTTGTGGTGTTGCTGCCATGTTAAATCCTACCATGAAATTAGGAGATCCTCACTTTTGGTATTCAAATATTTATAAGGCTTTAAATCTTTCAGATGAGGAATTTGCTACACTTGCAGATGCAAAAGCCTCAATTAAAATAAATGCTCAAACAATTTATAATGCTTATCAACTTGCCTTAGATCATGCTAGACCAAATGTTCCAACTCCTACTTCGTCTAGTTCGCAATCATCTAAAAGAACTGCGGGCCTAAAAGCACTTAGTTCTTGGACGGAGTTCAGGGGTTCTCAAGGTGATAATATTGGTGAACTAAATGAGCTTCAAGTTTATTTGTCGCAGGGACTTGAAAAAGAGAATCCAGACGGCACCTTTGATCTTTTGGAATGGTGGAAGGACAAAGAAAAACACTTTCCGGTTCTTTCAAGGATGGCTCGAGATATTTTATGTGTTCAAGCTTCAACAGTGGCATCAGAGAGCGCTTTCAGTCAAGCGAGACTTCAAATCGGTGATCATAGAGCGTCTATGAGGGAGAGCTTGGAAAAATCAGTACTTTTCGGAGATTGGATCCGTTCAGAAAGAAGAAATTTTGGACTTGCTGAATCAAAACCGGAGATAGACGAAGCTTATGAAGAAATGCTAGCTGAACTTGCGGAGGATGCTGCTTCGCCCGGAAGCGGTGATGAACAAGCTTCTTTTCCGCCACCACCAACGGAAATTTTCAGTTTTAATTTTTTTATTTATCGGTTTAAAGATTCAAAATTTTACAAGTTCCAAAGTTATGAGTTCGGAGGTTTATGTGTTTGAAAGTTAACGGGTTAGAAACTATAAAGTTTACGGGTTAGAAATTTCGCGGTTTCGAAAGTTTAGCGGTTCGAAAGTTAATGAAAAAAGTGGTTTTGGAAGGTTGTTGGTTTGAAAGTTTATGGCTTCATGTTTATAGTATATCTAAGTTATTTATGAATACTCTTGAGAAGTCATTTTCCTTAATTTGCGTACCAAACATCGAAAAATGAATAAGATAACTTGTTTTCCAAAAATATATTTTCTTGGAAAAAAATTTCCGTCGTACCAAACACCCCCATAGTATCACGAATTTTGAAATTCTTAAGGTTGTCATATATATATATATATATATATATATATATATATATATATATATATATATATATATATATATATATATANCCTCACCGTTGACAATTTGGTCCACAAGTTCTTTCGAGTGTTGAAAATAGGAACTGAACTTTTCATCAACTTCCTCTTCACTTGAAGACCTTATAGTATTATAATAAGTAGGTGATGTTCCTAACTCAACATCAACTGAAAGTTTCTTCTTCTCAAATTCCTTGTCAAGTACTGCTAGTGATTTGACCAAACTGACCTCCTCAAAACATTTCATAAAAGAGCCGATAAAATCTTTGAAAAGCATGAAATCAGCATCTAGCTTATTTACAGTTTCTTTCCAGACAAAATTGTCAATTCCTCCAGATTCTTGTTCAAGGAATAAAATTGCTTGAGATCCAAAATACAAACAGTCCACCATCTTTGATAATGATCCCATGAGCGTACGATAGCAAGCACTATTGAAAGGAACAAACCAAAAATTGGGCTCTGCCTCAGCTTCGCCAACAAACTTTCCCATCTTATTAACATGGAATTTTAGTTTATTTTGGGTTTCTACCAAATTTCCGAATGATCCAAAGCTTATTGAGCCAATGCATTCATGCAAGATTTCAAAGCTCTTTGAAAGTTGGAATTTTGCTAAAGTAGAAGCTCTTGTGGGCTGTAACAATATTTCTACCATAATGGAACAAGACAATCCAATGAAAGTCTCTGTTATTCTTGCTATGGCAAATTCACTTGGTGGACCAAAACCTTTTCTACCAAGAATTAATACTGCCCCAACAATGGCTGAAATTCCACCAGCTTGGCCGTACATTTTGCTTTGTTGCAAAAAACTGCTGACAATGAACCACGGGAGGAGAGACAAGAATCTAATTTGCACGTATTTTTCGAAGACAAAACATCCTAAAATACCATATATTGATCCCAAGACGGTCCCCTGTGCCTTATAATTTGCAACTTTGAAAGTTGCTTCTCTTGCTCCTGCTAGGCTAACGGCAACTGGCAACCCTGCCCAGAATCCATTTTCCTTGCTATATATTGATCCAAAAAGAATAGCAAGGCCTAATGATAGTGAACATTTGAAAGCTGCCATAAACCTTTTGTTATTTATAGTAATAGACAAGTAATTGCTCCATGTTTTCCTCGAGAATAATTCTTCTTCATCGTGTTGCTTGGAATTAGTGGAGCCTTCTTTGGGTGGTGGGGGTGCAATTGGTTTGTTCAAAAGGAGGTTTAAGCAAAATAAAAAGAATAAAGAGGGAAGATGTTTATTGGTTGGTTGAATGGTATGAAGTGTTTGGAAGAACTTTTGGGTATTTTCAGGATTTGACTCTGGAACAGTTGCTGATGACTCGAGGGAAATGCTGTTGACTTGCTTTGAGATGTGTTCTCCTAGCATATCTAGGCCAGATTTTAGCTCTGAGTTAGGAATCTCAATTGGAAATGAAGGAGAATTTTCCAAGGCAATTTCCATCCCTCTTAAAGGTGTTTGAAGATGTTGAAATCTGCTCCCAGGGTTCTCTCCATATGGTCTTAAAAACTTGAATGGAAATCTTTCCCACTTCATGCTTTCCTGGTAAAAATTAATTGTACCAGCAAAAAGGATATTAGGACACTAATTATCAGGCATAAGAGAAGTAACTAATTAAATAACATGCATGTGTAATACGTATTTCATGGGGGCTTACTTGCTTGGTTTTAATGCGCTGGAGATGTTTGGCTCCTGTGCTAACTAAGGACTTGGCTTGAGAAATGAAAGCAAGTGCAGTAATGTTGTCTTCAGCCGAGAAGGCCTTCACAAACAAGTTAAACCTCTCCAAAGCATTTTCAGCAAAGAGCTTGCAGTTCTGTTTCACCTGAAAACATAGAACATTAATCCTGTTATTCAAAATCATCACTAATGGAAATACTTAACATCCTTCAATTACCTAGTTATTTATCGTTAAAATATATCTAAATTACATGCATTATGTTAAACAGATTCACGACGTGGAAAACATATACGACTAGTTTATACCACCCAGCTAGCTAGTGCTCAATGAAGTGAGGAAGAAACCATATAAAAGACCAGATTTCAAATTCAATTCTAACAGAGACAAAAATGCATATATATATATATATATATATAGACGCACACCAGTTTATAAGGAAAGGTGCATGCTTAATGTCTGAAAATGTGAAGACTAATGCGTGACACCAAGAAATGCATGTTAACAAAAGGTGGTAAAGTGTCAAGTATCAACTTGATGTAGCACTATAATATTTTATTTTCAAACAACTTCCATGCACGAGAAATGTTTATTAAGCTAGAATTCTCACCTCGCAGCATGCCAGGCTTGGGTAGGGAAAAATCAAGGCCAAAACACAAGCCACAACTCCGAGCCCTGTGCTAGCGGCAACATGAATAGGATGCATAATAGTTTCAGTTTGGCCACCATTTATATAAGCTATGACATAAACAAGAACAATTTGCCCTAGCGCTATGCGCTTAACTAGCAAGTGAGTGTTTTCGGGCAGAACCACCACGAAGGCGCTTAGAGCTACCGCGATAGCAGTGGTGCTGGCTGTGAGCCGAGCCGGTCCGATTAACCACAAGCTTAGAATAGCAGGACAAATGCCCTGAATGGTGGCGTAAAGTGCATGCCAGCAGCCGCGAAAAGTGTCACCTAAGGTTGCATCGGTCACAATAAGAATAACCGTAACGTAGGAAAAAGCTGGGAATGCGACTTGCTTCCTGAAATATTTCGGGCCGAAAAGGGTGACAACACCAACTATGGTGCAAGCCAAGGCTGTTCGAAGGGCGGAGGCAAGGCAAGTCCGCCACACGGATCGAGAGCTTGAGGTTGCCATTGTAAAGAGCTCGAGATAACGAACAAAAAAAAACCTATGATTTTTATAGATACTGAATAACGTTTTTCTTTCTTAGCTAATGAAGTTTAGCTAAGGCTTGTGTTACTTCGTCCCTCAAGTCTCAATGAGAATGAGAAAATTGGGATGTGCATTTTAGAGGTAGGAGAGGGGTGTTTTATAGAGGAAATTGATCTTTAGATTACAGCACGTGAGACTTTAGTAGGACCCATATGGGAATGGGGGCCACTGGGTGGACACTACACAATCCAAGAACACTTATAAATTAGAAACTATACGTGGGGGGTGGGGGTGGGGCGTGGCGGGGGGGGGGGGAATGGATCAATATAATGATGAGGATAATAAAGAAGGTTTGTAAATGAATTAACTATTGTGTTTACTCATCTGAAAAATAAAATACGAACGCTGATTGCTTATATTGTAGTATTAATGTTATATTGCAGTTGACCCCTTACCAGAGTGCTGATATGCGCATATACTTATAGGGTTATAGTAGATTTAATATAACCTTTGATAAAATAATTGGTGAACAAAAAAGAAGAGAAGCAAATTCTTCGACCCACAACAAATTCCACATGTAACAAAAATAAAAGGTACAATGTAACTGTAGACAATAAGTAGAAACAAAAATAAAAGTAAATGTGAGAATCTAAGTAGTGGCTCAGCAAATTAGGAAGGTTAAAAAAGCTGCTAGGTTAGCAGAGGGTCCTCTACATATATACAAGAGTACAAGCAGAAAACTTGTCGTTCTTTTTACTTTGTACTTCCAGTTCAACAGTATAAAACTTTGCTTAAAAAACAAAGAACTTTTTTATTAATATGTGCAACTGAAAATTTAGTTGTCCACTTTTAATCTTGGATTCTCTTTAATAAAAATAAAATAAATAAAATTTATATTTTACAATTATACCCATAATAATGATAATATTTTAACAAGTCTCGAGAAATGATCTTGGGGAATGAGTTGGTAACGATAAGGGTAAAACAAAAAAAATTCTCTTGATTTGCTTAAATGAACAAGTAAAAATAAAAATATATTTTTAGTATTATGAACAAATAAAAATGATAGGATCTCTGAGAGTATGTCAGATCTCATCAATACTTGTCGAAAATAGTTAATGCTGAAAGAAGAAACAAAGAAACGTATAGGACGGATCCAACTCCTCTCCATTTCTCTTTTCTCCATTTTCCTAAGTTCAAGCTTAGATTAGGGCACATAGCATAAGCTAGAATTAATGGCTAAGATTTAATTGATTAAAGCAAAATTCTAACCATGGTTTAAAGAATTAGTAATGTATTGGGTGATACCCTTTTTTGCTTGAGCCCGACCGGGTTGGATCCGGTCCGGAGCAAGTCGGGGCCATCGAACCCGACCTGGATGCAAGGTAGAACGACGGCCACGTCTACAACCGAGGTCGAGTCATTTCGAGACCGTTACAGAGCTCGAAAGGAATCACCACCGGATGGAGAAACACACAAGGTCGGAAGCCGGGCTCGTAACGGATAACCAAGCGTCGCCGGATATCTCGCCCAAACGTGATTTTCTCAACCACTTCAGGCCATTAAGGCGTAATTACAGGGATCCACGATGTAATCAATTTACCTACCTTATTTTTACCCTTAATCAGAATGTATAAATGGGTATCTCTCTAAATTCTTGGGGGGCATCAAGCACAATTGTTCTAAGCAATATTATATTCTGCGATTATTTACTTTAACAGCAATTGTTGAGTCTTTATCTTTATTTTCCTCAACCTAAAAGCCTTTTGTATCTTTTAGTTCACGGATCCTTAAAACCCCATATAAATTCAATTGTTATCCGGATTCGAGGGTAAACAGTTTGGCGCCCACCGTGGGGCTAAGGATATTGGTGAGCTCTTTGATACTCTTTCTTGACGCATCGCAATACACTGGTTCTTTGCAAAAGAGTCCATCTTACATTCAAAT